CGTTTGTACGCGCACATATAACATTAATAGTATTACCTATATTATACGACCGCATTCCCCGGCACGTTATTTGTCAGTTTTCGTTTTTCAATTGTGAATTTGTCATAACCCCCCCCCCCTCTCATCCGCGGACGGACGGGACACGTTACGGCCGGCAAACCGTGTAAACGTTATTATAATATATTTTTATTTGTATTATTTTAGATCCCGAGTATAACGAAAAGATTATTGGTTTTACAAAGATGCGGTTTTTTTTTCCTCGGATAATACTTTAAGGCTCGTAAAAATTCTTTGTTATTTTTAATGTCATGCACCTTAAAAAACCCGAACATTTTGACCGGTGTTACTTTATTTGAAATATTTTCCGACATTTCCAGCAGTTCACCTCATAATTTATCAGTGGTTTTCAAAACTGTGTGCCATTAACATTCTCCGGATTTGCCGCGATCTTTTGAAAAGGTTTTTTTTTTCAAATCCATAATGATCATTTGTGTAATAAAATATAATTTTTTTTTTTTATCTAATTTGACAAATCAAATGTAAATAATTATTTGAACAGCTGAAAGATGCGCCGTGAACATTTTGTGAAATGCGTGTTTAAAAAAAAGTTGGAGTATAATATAGCTGCCTAGTGTTTTGATATTTCAATATATGATAAAATAGCTGAGTAAAACCAATAATCTCAATTTTAAAACAAGAAAAAACTGTTATAAAATTAGCAAATTAATCTATTTGCAAAGTTTCGAGTATGGATAAAGAAAAAAAAAAGAAGGAATATCACAATTTATATGCATAAATAAAAAAAGTGGCCTATAATGCAAAGGTTATTAATAATAATATTAATAATAAAAAAACTTATATAAATCAAAATTAATTTATTTTAGCGGCATACTAAATTTCTAAATGTACTGTTATTAACATAAGCAAGCATTATTGATAAAATGTAAAATATGAGAGTATATATAAATTTTTTTTTAGATTAAGGACTGTTGTATGATGCAACGAACAAATAGTGTGAAACATTAGTGTTAGTTAGTATTAGGAAATATTAATAAAAAAATTGTTTTTAAGAAGTAGGTGAAGTTATTGATACAGAAATTATAAACCGGGAAGGCGAAACGTGGACATTGTTTTATCGTAAAATTAAATATTGTACTATATTATTATCTATTTTGGGTGTTTAAATTTACTTTGCATGTGTCGTATCCTACTACCCATTGCGGCGTATACAACACTAACCTTCGCCAAAATATTATTTTTTTCCTCAATTTCTCTTAAAACGTTTTTATTTACTGTTATACTCCGTCGCACCACGGTGATATTACATCCGATCACCACATCTGGCAATTGTATACATTGTATTTTTACAGTTTTTATATTATACTAAACTATGCATGGCAAACAAAGTATCAGTAAAAATAAAAAAAATCGACCGTACGAAAAACAAATATATTTTCAATGTTTGTGAATTTTAGTGTAGAAAAATTATTATAAAACGTTTCATTTCACCCGACGTAGGTATAATAATGCGAACGGAATCACCAAATATTTTCTAATAAAATTTCAAATTAACGAGGGAAAAGTACAAAATTGATAGAATATACGATTTATGCGTATCTTTATAAAATCAAACAAACACATTGTGCGTTTTAGATTTTTTGATTACTCGTGTCATTGCGTTACGTATATATATATATATATTAAAAAAAATGGATTATTTCCGTCAGTTTTGTCTGCTCGGTATAAATCGAGGGCGTACTATGCGACTACTATAATATACGATTAACTACACGTTTTTTTTACGAGTAAATAAACGCTTTACGAATTTTAATATCCTCGTATACACGGGGCGCCCGCAAGATAATTATCAAGGAGACGCATAATAAAAATCAAACGTCAAACCGTACATAAAATAAATTTATGTTTGAAGTTTCGAAGTCCAAGCTAGGGGGTGGGAGCAAATGCCCCGTTTTTTCCCCCGCCCGTCCGAGTGCCCGTGCTCGTATGTGTTAAAATTACTGCAATTATCTTTAAGTGATAAGAAAAGAGTATATGTAAAAAAAAAAAAAATATAATAAATATAAGACAATTCTACGTACGAAATGTGTTTTTTTTTTTACCATTTTAAATAGACGCTAAACGGTCACACGTATTTTATACGGATATAGAAGAGCGTTGGATGCGTTCCAATTAACCTTTGACACGTATGGTACAGCGCACAAACACCGCGTTGCGCAGCACGCGGAGGGGGAGCCTTGAACTTGGACAACGTGGGTGTTGCAAACGAGACGGTTTAAAATAATAATAATAATAAAAAAATCAACAGATATTTATTTTGTTTTGTTTTATAATTTCTTCTCGCCACCGCGGCCACCCAATAAAAAAAAAAAAAAAAAAAACTTATCGCGTTTCCGAATCGATTCGAATCACACAGTCGGTAAATCACAGCCAATTAAGATTAAATTATATGCAACCGGGCGAGCGCGCGCGGCTACCTCGTAATCGTACGCGTTATTTTTACGCCTGTGGTAAATATAAAATAATAATAATAAAAAAACAAAAATAATAATTTCGTGTGACTATAGTGCAGTAGAATACAGTGCCACGCACGCACGCTACAGAACACAGACGCTGTTATTTCTTTGGTTCCAGGAAATAAGGTTTTAAGTCAATTTTTTAGCGTTTTTTTTTTTTTTTTACATTTTCGCCTTGTGTAATTTGTTTCCCTTTATTTTTTCGATCAAAACGGAATGAACGCATGCAATATTCTAACGCGTGTTCCACCGAAAATAAAACATCTCTAGACAATATATATGCATGCACTTTGTCTGGCAAAAATACGTAAAGTTAGGTTAGAACGCATGGTATTTTGGCTTATAGGACTTTTAGAGATTTAGTCATTGAGCAATGCCCTTTCGGCATTGGAAAACGATCACAAATCGCTCGTATTTAGAACTGTACAAAATCGACATAAACCCTTCTTCTCTGTGGGGGTTTTTTTTTTTATTGTACAATAAAATAATATGATGTTGGGCTTCGAAATGATTTTATTATTATCGCCGTCGTCTTCGAATTTATAAAACGTCGTCGTCGTTATTAATAATATACCGACCGAAGTGCAGACTCGTCACGCCGAACCTTGTTATTTTTTATTTTTATTTTTTTTTATAAATTTTATTCATGTCGGTAGCGTTTGGTTTTTTTTTTTTTTTTTGGAAATCCTCAACGAACACAAACCGCTCCAACACCGCTGCCGCATAATTTATTCGCTATAGAATTCCGTCCGTCAGTCTACTTTTATAATATAGGTACGTGACTCAAAAAATATTTTTTTACCAGCGAAAATTAATTATAAAATATTGAATATTATACGAAAACCACAAAAAAAAAAAATATATATATATATATATTTAAATAATCGTTTTTGTACGTCCGGTAAACCGATTTTAATATTTTTTATCGTCCTCGTGGGAAAACTGTAGGATCCTGCAGGCACGCAGCGAGCATAACGTACAGGTGCAAATATAGTATTATTAGACTGTTCGTAAGACTGGGAAATAGTCGATAATTGTGTATACTTAGGAAACGAGATCATAAAATGCCACGGAAGAAGTATGACGGCGATAAAAAGTAGGATAGAGCGGTGGAAGCAAAACAAATTTTCTATGAAAAAAAAAAGAAAAACCGCTTCGCCACAAACGTAACATATCGGCTAGGTTAGGCCGAAATTGAAGTCTTTGAAATGCAGCGATACCACGGAGAGGAACTCCGAAAATCTCGTGGACAGACGGAATAACGATAACGATGGAATTCTTCGTGAAATTAATGCTCAGAAATCCAGACAGAAACTATTATATAATGTAACACGCTTAGAAAAATAAGATAAATAAACGGACAAGGCATTTAATATATAGTGCAATAACGCCCGGGTGACGACAACAATCGGAGATTGATGTCGGAAACACAGGAAGGGAATGGCTGAGGAAGTCGTTCATGAATCAGAAATAGTGATAGAAGACACCGGAATAAATGCGACACAATACAAAATAACTATGGTGCAAACGATTGGGATAGACGGAGTCAAGGCGGTTATAATAATATATGGTGAGCTCAGTTCGACTGTTATCACACAAATTTAACTTTTTTTTTTTTTTTTCGAGACAAATTAAAATGAGCGTCCTAAAGTTGCCAAGTGTGACCACAAGGGCTGCAATTTTATCTTTCATCGTACGTTTAGATAAACTATTTTGGATGAAATGAATGTGTACTTATTAAAACGTAGCTCGCGCAAAAATCAAATAACGGCTTCTGGTCACACTGGGCCACTCTAAGACAGCCATTTTAATTTTGATTGTGACAACTGAAATGTTTAGTGGGGGAACTGGGCTCATTGTATGTATTTACAACCGCCTTGAACGGAGGGAAACGCGTAGTCAATCGCTTTTAGCCAATCCGATAGAATCGAGAAAACAAAAATTATACTGTGCCCGTCTGTCTTTTGCAGCAGCGATGCGTTTATAAATTACATAAAGCGCAATATATAGCGCCATGTTTTAACTGCATATTATTTTATCGGGGGGAAAGAGGGGAGCCGTAATTAACTACACGTGCGTTCGGCACACGGTTCGTGTGTATTTATTTTCGATAAATCTCATTATTAGTCTCATACGCGACCATGCGTGCGTAAAAGGCTTACGCCGCCGCCGTCGAGGGACCGCGCCATCCGAGTGGCAATCGGCAAATTAGTCGCCCGCGGGCGTCGTTCGGGCGAGTAATCGGACGACCCCTCGGTCGGTTTTCGAAAAAAAAAAAATAAATAATAATAACAGTAATAATAATAATAACGTTATTCCCGGATGAAACGTACCGTATAGAAAACCCGATATTTCGGCGGAGTTTCAGTCGCCCGCGATCCGGCGGCGGACATCTTTATCCTGGGGGAAAACGATCGTATCGGATATAAATTGTACGCTATTATAATAGTACATGTATCTAACATGTGGTGGACGGGATATGTTCGGTTTTTATGGTATCTATACCGAGGGCACTACATAATAAGTACAGGGCGATTTTGTTATCGCGAACCGACGATTTTCGGCAAATTCAATACGCGTTGTATACGATTCTCTGTGCGTCTACCGTATCGACGTTCAAAAGTTTTTTTTTCGAAATATCGATTTGCGTAGTATATCGATGTTCATAGTATTATCGTGCGCGTCGAAATTTTAAGAAAAACATTCTTTATTCGAAGCGGAATTTGAAAATTTAGGTTGCTATTTGAAAACCATTTTTTTATATTGCTATAGTTGTACTATACCATTCTTAATACGGCCAGCAAATATTTTATATGGATCTAAAAATGGACCACCGAGGAAAACGGACGACAATATATTTTAGATACTTGATAGAGGAAAACGGCGGAAGAATAGAAAAAAAAAAATCACAGTGTAGATACGAAGCAAAAGCAAAGGAATTATAAATATCGTCTGGAGAAAATAATATTTTAGAGATCACCGAAAAAGGAATACTGTGATAGGCTAAACAGGGAACTTGCGCGGAAAACTCGAAATATCCAGTTCTGTAACAGAACCCAATAGGGAAAAGACTTTTGTAACGACCGATGATATTAGGGGTGGGGGGAAAGGCGTAGTAAACACAAATTAAGTCAACGTTTTCGGAATTCAGGATGACTTTTGACGATCGACGGAGGATCGATTGTGAGACGGTATGGTCTTAGAGGCTGGAGACAATCCCACATGACAGTTTAATACATTGTCATACGCGATTTTGATTGTGAAAAAAACATCCAAATCGAATTTTTATTTCAAGATAATAGTGAAGGTATAATTGGTAAGTAGACAAATCGCTGTGTATAATATTATAGGAGCGAATAAACGCGCAAAACCAATTGTATTATTTTTCCATTTTAAGGTGTGTATATTATTTTATGGTGTTAATTTATTAAAAATTGAATGTGTATGTGTGTGTGTGTGTGACGGTTTTCATGCGTGTGCGGTTGAAACGATGGCCGGCCGGCCGCCTATCAAACGGGTTTGTATATTTTATCAAATCGATATCATTAATTATGCCCGTAATCGATCGGCATTATTAGCGGTCTTCGTGTAAAAAAAAAATCCGTAAAATTCGTAATATTATAAAATATCCCGTCCGACGGGTTCGCTATTTTCGACATGATATAATATACGGGTAACGTATAATATTATAACGAGTAGGTATACAACTACAACACGATATTAATATTCGGGTCTGATAATGAACATTGAACGCACGGGACGGAAACACGCGCGGGCGACTAAGAGGATTATATGGGAAAAGTCTACGTGATACCGAAAAGAAAAACCCTCAGACTAGCCCAGAAAGCGGGAGATAGTGGTAAACGAAGAAGGAAGATAAGCACGCGTAGTTCGTGGTCTGCTTATTCCAAAGTTTTAGATTTTTAGAAATTATAAAGACCGGAATCCGAAAAAATAGCCTGGCCGATGTACTTAACTTCGCCGAATTCGAATCTGCTTTTCAGATAGGTGGTTTAATTTATCTGAAAAAAAATTTAAAAAAATGTCTAACACCCATTTTCTTCTCGATCTCGATATTTTTTCCCGTTCACGGCCTTGTAGATATCGCATATGCAAGTACTTCCTTAACGGGACACGTCACTGATATTTTGTTTTCATTTTGTTGTCTGTATTGCGCGTAATGTTTAGCGCATTCCGCATTTTCACGATTGCGATTCATTTGTCGAGTTTAAAGCGAATGGACCTATTACAAAGAAGGCTGTTTGCCATAATTGAATAATTATTTTGTTTTTCGTTTTATGTTTCTTATAAAAAGTGATTGATTGTTAAAATCAAAAGAAATCATGTTCAATTAAAACGCGCACAATGTCATCATCTGGAAAACAATCGAATAAGGATCCACGTATAGTGGGCCATTTCGCCCTAAAATCAAAACCCGGCAAAGAAATCGAAAATGTTAATGACGGCGCCCCTTAATCTTTGCGTATAAATCGCACGCACAAGGGCATTTCGTACGCTTAAAACACATAAAAAAAGTACGCGTATATTTTATTTTTATATTACGCTTTATCTGCAAACCGACGCGTTTTAAAAGTGCCAGTTTCCTCTCCGAGACGTTTTTTTGTTTTGTTTTATGTCCAAAGTGAAATAAAAGACGGAGGGCAAATCGTCATAATAACAATATATCGGACTCATTAACCTCGCGCTCGGAAAATCGCAACCGGGGGGCCACACACCGCGTGCAAGCGATGACGATTTGTATTTCCCCCTCTCCACCCCACCCCACGCTTAAACTTTTTTCTCGCGAATACCGACCGCAACCCATCCCCCCCCATAAACTCTGACCTTTGATCCGGTTCCCTCGCGATTTTTAACGAACCTGCCGCCGCCGGGGTCGTGAAATATAATTGCACGATAATCTCGACGCGGTTTAGTCGTAAAAAAAAAAAAGTAGAAACAAACCGCTGCGAATCAGACAACGATATAGAATAATATTACTATTATTATTATATACCCAACGGTCGAATGCCAGGTATAATAAGAACTTTTGTTTTATTGCTTGCACGACGGCGACGTGACCGATATTGGAAAAAAAAAAAAAAACAATAATAATAAAACAAAAAATGTCGCCAATTTGGAAATTGCCGGGAGTTTATTTTATTTTTTTTTTTTTTTACCGTATGCAGGTGTACATACGGGCAGTTTATAGTTTATTACACGCGCGAACATAAATCACTACATCACGCCGGACCTAATGACAATAACCGCATAAAGCTGCTGCATATATACCGGAACGAGCTGCAGGTCGGAGCGTTAGTTTTTTAACGAAGAATTGTCGGTTTTTTATTATTATTATTATTATTGGTTTTTTTATATATATATATGTATATAAAACGCTTTATTACAGTTTACTATTTATTTTATGTACCGCGTTTTATGTAATTCGCCACTACATTTACCCTGTATACCAACGTCGTCGTCGTCGTCGCCGTATAGTGTTATTATAACATATTTCGCACTAAATCGATATATTATCCACGCGGTGATAATGAAATGCGTCGTGTCTTGCGCACACCGCACACGTATTTTAGCGTTGAAAGATCTGCCGACGGGTTTTATAGCACATATTGTGTTTTATGTGCGATACGATAGGCTGCGAGTCATTGTACGACGAGTCTGAGTTAATTTTTACTTTCGACCTTTGGTTTTCGATTTCGACTCGTTCTCACTGCGTCGATGACTGTTGTGTAGTTAGTTTGTTTTGAATTAAAAGTATCACCGCGTTAATTTATAGTTTCATTTTTTTTTTTATTTTTTTTTTTTTTTTTTTTTTTTTTTTTTTATTCGAACACGTTATTGAATTCATCATTTTACGGTTCGGTAACATTTTCAAAGTGACTTTCAACGTAATATTAATAAAACATTCCACTTCGAACGCGTTATCACGTCAATTTTTTTCTTCGAAATTAATTTAACTTTACTGATATATAATCAATTGACTTGTTCAGTTTTGTCGAGGTGTTATTGTACCGATCGACGGCACTCAGTGACCTGCCCGGAGCTCTATCCAAGGGGGGAGAAAGAAGTGCTGTTTAAAAATCGTAATGTACCACAATATATCACGAGGGGTTTCCGCGTCCCAGAAAAAAAAGCAACAGTTGTAATTTTTTTTTTCTTATAATTTCTTTCTCCTTGCCAATTAAAAAAGAAAAAAAAATTATGTTTTATTCGGATATTTCATCGCTCGTATTACATAGTCGAATCTCATTCATAACGAAATTCGTTAAATAATTTATATCGTGTATTGCTATACGTGTTATTATGCTCGGCAAACTTTATAGCCGCGCGTGTTTCGAAAATGAATAGGTATGTACATTGTGTTTTTTCACTTTTTTAATTAACCGTCGGAATAGGTACCTACTCATTACGGGTTGATAATTGCGAAAATCTCATTATTTTTCGTCGTTTGTTTACGTGTTTACGCGTGTCCGATCGAATCGTATAATATCGAAATAACGAAGAGACTGCTGCAGCTATTGCGCATTTAGTATTATTACCATCGGAACACACGGGTATACACACGAAAAACATACGCATTATTATTGTTATTACTCCGTTTCGTTTTGAACGTATAGCGTGTGAGCTGGAAAAACAAAAACACAAAAAAAAATACTTATAGTACGGGAAAAAAAACACCATCGTCGTCGTGTTGAAAGATGCGCAGTTGCGCTAGATGTATATTTTTATTTCACGTTTTATCGTCATTAAAATAATAATTCATAACCGCCGACGTAATAAAATAATAAACAATAACATTCGAACCCGGTTAAAAAAAACAACCGTTTCGTGTATAGCGCGCTACTTCCTCAATATCGGACTACATATTTATGTGTACATACCTGTATACTTTTTGTGTAATGTACTGTATACCGACGAAACGCGCGTGTACCGCGGGTGTATGCAAAGAAAACCCTGCAGCCGAGGCGATGTTTTTTTCGACGACCTTTACAATATAATAATTATTGTAAGTGGGTAGTGTTATTTAAAAAACATACGAAAAAAAAAAAAACACAAAAAAAACCCAAATGATCAACCTGTATTTTTGTCGTTTATTGTTTCGCGTCTCTTCTATTATGTCGTATAATATACCCGTACTTGCCGAATACATAAGGGCGCTCAAGAGCATTTCCAGCGGTACTTGTTGCGTATTGTTTTTTCGTTCCCATCGCATAATCTCGTCCGTTCGTAATACTCGCCGAGACCTGAGTTCCGAGACGCGTTACGCGTTATACATATCTATGCAAGTAACGATTAACCATTGCTGACGAAAAAAAAAAAAACGATTCTGAGCGGAGTTCAGTTGATAGGTGTTGTTTCGTCAACAATGTATTATATGTAATCATACCGTGGTGAGATAATCGCACAAGCATTAAACATTGTCTTTGATAATATCTGTTTTATATTGTACCGATTTTCCCGTTCCCGCGGTTTTTCCCATTTATCGGGAAAAACGAAAAACCGGCGTAACGCCCAAAGTACCACCCCGGCCGGGATTTCTTTTCGGGAAACGTGCTGTACTCGGAAATCGCCGGTAGAACAGTTGTCCGCGGAGAAAGAAAAAAATAAACATCGTCGTACAATAACCGGCACGGTCCTCGGTGCGCTCGGAATCTGAAACGCGATCGCCGCATGTGCCCGTACGGCCGGACGGCAGCCGTTTCATACGTTCTCGGTTCTCCGGGCGATCCGTAATACGACGTTTTGTCGGTTTTCGGACGGCCTTTGACGGCCGGCGCCGACGCCGTCTCGTCTCTTGCCGTCGACCAATTTCCCCCCCCCCCCCCCGCCCGGTCCGTTATACGCGCGTAATGCTGTGACGTTACGGGTAACAACGGCGGCTACGATAACATCGCAATAACGACGATATTAGTGCGCGTCTGTCCGCGCGTTTATACGCCGGTTGCGGGAAACGGTCGCCGAGCGCGTTTTAATAGCCATTATTCATAATTAACGAGCTCGTCCGGGTGGTCAGATTTCACCTGTTCACCGGGCCGCGTCCAGCGGTGTGGGTACGGGTGTATAGAACCGATGCGATAACGCAGTGTCGTCCCACAAAGTGGATTGAAATAACAGATACACGAATGTCCGAGTACACTCGTATACACGCGTTATAATGTGTACAAACGACGAGTGCTTTATCAAAAATACCCCCGGAAAAAAAAAAAGAGAAGAAAAAAAACGACATCGGACCGGAGGAAAAAAAAAAAACAAAACTCGTTTTTTACGGTTGCTTTTTTTTTCTGTCTGTTACTCTCGTGTAATTTTCATTATTAGGATTTCGATCTAAACAAAACGATACGCGACGGCGGCGGTTCGGTTTCCGCTATATTGACCGATGATGATAATAATAACAATAATTAGTAACTCATCAATTTTCATTAAAATCCGATATGGCGTGTACACCGGGACACGTACGTATACGGCCTACGAGCTATTTATACGACCACCGATAAATTTCCTCGGGTTTTTTTTTCCCCCGCCTTATTATCGCGAGTTTAGTCTCGCCCGGTGTAGGTAGGCACCCGCGATTATAATATATTAGTAACATTATTACCGTATAATGACGTGACGAGGAGGAAACGAGGGGAAAAAAAAAAGATACCCTAGCGCCGTGAATATGATTATCGTACGTAAACTGACCGTTTATGTAAATGCACGCGTCGGAACAATATTCGTAATGAGGCGATCATTAGACGAGATGCGGAAGAACAAACGCGTGTTCCGGAAAACACGCCGTACGCGAATCGCCTCGTTTTGTTTGGGTGGCTTTTTTTCGGTCTATTGCTATTACAGACAATGGTGGCTCGAAGTATTTTTTTACCTTGAATCACGGACGAAAATTGTCCACTCACCCACCCGCCCGCCCCGACCCCGAGAATACTCCCACTACTATATCACGGACGTATAGGAATTCGTTAAATTTTAATAAAATTCGTCAAACTTATCGAATTTCCGCAGTATACAACTCTTTTAGTATGGCTTGTTTCGTAAAGAAATAATAATTTTTGTTATACTTCTGAACACTCACGACCCGCCCAAGTGGTTTTTTAGTGAATCGCGTGATTCAAATATACATCCTTCGAGCCGCCACTGATTCCATTCATTTGCTTTTTATATGGTTGATCGACACGTTTTTTCGCGATTTTATTTCTCCGTCCACTCTCCGGTGGGCGCGGTTTTGGTTTCTGGGTCTCGTTCCGCATGATTTCGCGTCCAATGTGACGGATGTGGTTACACTTCGAGTATGTGTTATTGTATAACAAGGCTATCTTGGCTGTTTCATTATATTTTCTTGGATAAAGAAAAACTTGGCTGATCAAACTCGCACTTCGTTTCTTACGAAGTATGGAACGCCTGTGGCTGTTCTTGCGACGCGTATACCGGTCTGGTGGATATACACAAGCGAAATCGGGTGACGTTTAGTCGCGTGATGTGAACGACAGAATTTAATAAAGAACAGCCGAGGACGTCCGTTTCCGGAAATCCGGGACCATAGGACAGAGTATTTATATTATTTTCCGTTGTCTTTTGGTTTTGTTAAACCGCTGACATACGTTATACGCGTAAATACGAAAAAGCCACGAGGAAGGGACGACGTGTCTCCCCGTCTTTGCAAGAGATAACACGTCTCGAGGATAATACATTTTATATCTTTTTTTTTTTTTTTTGATAACCCTTCCGTACATTCTTCCGGTCTAAATCCGAAACTGTTATTTGCGTATCGACGTGCAGAGTATGTACAAATATAATTCGTTTTCCAAATCCGAGATTAAATTTCAATTTGAAAATCAAAAAAAGTCGTCGTGTCAACACACGGAATATAATAAACGTGACATTTGTGATATGCATGGGTACGCAAATGCACCCCGTGTAGTTTTTTAGCATGTCTAAAATGTGTAAATGTAAATTGCATATAATTTATAGTCCAAAACACTCGTTTCTCGATTGTACCAAAATGTTTTCGGTGATTTTGTTATAACTATTATAATTATATTACTGCCAGAAGATATAAACACGGTTATTATAAATAATACAGTACCGCCTAAAGGACTAAAGACAGTTTTGCTAAATTAAATCGTATTGACGATTTCCATAAATTTACTATAAACCAATTGCTCACATGCGCGTTTTATAACAGTGTTGAGTTTTTTTATTGTTTAAATTTTCAAACGTTCTATTGTAGAGGTAAAGCAAAGTATTGTTGAGTTGTTCTGGTAATAAACTCGTTATTAAGCAGGTAGGCAATTTTCGTGTATTTTAATTTAATATAAAATGAATAATCAATATTGAAATTCATTTGAAGTACGGTTTTTAATCGTATTATGGACATTTGGACACGCGATGATTGAAACATAGAGTTAAGCGTGGAAATTATTGATCTCGTGCTCAATATTATGCTATACGCGAGCGGATTTCGAGCTTATTTTAATTTTCAGTATGGGCTTTGCGTTCCGAGAAAAAAATGTGACCCCGTTGAATATATTATGAGCGACATTGTTTTTAAAAAAAACCAGTGAAATCGAATTCGCTGGAAATCGTCGTCGGTTTGCGGTAAAAACAATAATCGTCCTGCATGCGTAAGCGAACCCACGCCCCGTCTCTGCGGCACTATTATTTATAAATAAAGGATAAATAAATTTGAGATAAAACATCATACAAATGCACGTGCCGGTATTGTGGTTAACGAGATGAACATCCCGAAAAGATAACCGTAACAGTAATATTATTTAAATTAGATTTAGATCGTACAATAATAATTTTTGCGGTGGGCGGTGGTCGCTACCAAATCGTAAACGAAAGACGGCCGGGTTAGGCTATTCATAGGTACTGTACACTGAATATCATTCGTATTATAAAAAAAAAAACTCATAATGCGGTAAGGCAAGAGCAGTCGAAACGTTAAAAAGCGTTATTAGAGCGAGTTGGATGAGGCGTGTCGGAGAACTGCTCGAACGGCTGAAAAAACAGATACTTGCAAACGCCCGAAGAAACCCGGAGGACTTCGGCTAAGACAAAGACGGACGGACAGAGCATTGCTATAGAAGGCTTAGGGTCGCTACGTAGCGTCTAAACGTTAAAAAAAACCGTTGTAGGATAATGGAGACGGGTGCAGCCACTGTTATAAGTAATATTTTAATGTATACTTGTAAGCAACGATAAACCATTGTGTCATATTATATTATCATTGTGAATCGGAACAAAATTCCCGGTAGAAAAGTTGTTCACAGAAAAAAAGAAGGCCGTAATATTTTTTTTTAACTTCAACTTACATTTCTTATATTTTTCCGTTTGATCGGGTTTATTTTTTATATTTGTTGAGGAAACTCTTGAGAAAATCGAAAAACGACTTGTTTAAAGTACCTCTCCAGTCAGATTTCGTTTCAGAAAATACGATTTACTTAAAAACCGGAACAAGATTTATGGTAAAAAAGTCGCGCGCGGGTTAAAAAAAAAAAAAATAAACATTTTTGTAAAGCCGTAAACTTCTTCGCTCCACTCAGAATCTAAAAAAATAATAATAGTAAAAATAGCTTACGTATTTAATAGTATTTCTACGTGTTTAGCGCGCGCGTAACCGATCCGTTTTAGGTGCACATTTCGACTTTAACGTTCAGCAGTCATCGTTTTTAAACGATTTCAATGATATACTGTCCTATTTTGGTTTTCGATACGCCGGATTTCGGTGACCGAGTTGGTTTTACGAGTTTTAAAAAACCTAAACTATGCTAGTGTCCCCAGAATGTTATAGCGTTTTCCACGTGACTACATCACACTCGTGTGCAAGTTTCCCACCATCACCTGCAGACTTTGCTAATTCAGTGGCTATCGAATTTTGACGAGAACAGTTTTGTGGTAAAAAAAAACAATAGATTCGTCTACACATACTTCTTGTATTATTATTATTATTATTATTATTATTTTTTTTTTTATTGATCGGAGTGTATTCGATTACCGATTGAATTTATCGAGAAAGTATACAGTTTCGGTCACTAAATTCGCTGTTTTCGTCTTCGTCTTCCGGGGCGATAACGAACAATTATTATAAATGTATGGTGTTGGCGTGAGTCGCGTTCCACTAAATATTATCGCACATACACGAGTGCAATCACACGACGGCAAACGCGATTGAGACAGTGTAAACTCGATCGAATAACCACGAGACGGGCCGAGCATTTACACGGGCCCCGAACTCGGGTAGTGTCTGTAAATACGCCGACCGTCTGTGATTTTATTATGAGTCTCTGCGGCGGCGGCGTTTCAATAGAACGATAGATTTCTATAATCCCGGTTTATTATACTGTTATCGTTGTTATTATTATTATTATGCGAGTATACCGTTTTATAGGTATACGGCTGAAAACCGATTGAAAAATATTATCAAAGCCGTTACCGACTTTGTTTCGTTGTATCCGGTACGTACATATTATATAATACGTCCACTGGTTACCGTTTTTTTATTTCGTTTTATATAAAACGTTTGATGTACGGGCGACAATGAACAAATTAACGATTCCGATTATCGGGTAACGCGCACATTGTATTACAAAACATAAACGGTTTTTTTTTTTTTTTTTTTTTTATCGCCCGTACGCATTACAATACGTATGCGTTTATGGTTCAGAGTGTCTGACGGAAATTTCCAAGTTTCAAAGAAAACCAATTATCGGTATGGACCGGATTTTTGTTAAAAATAAAAAGCCCGTAAAACCGTCGAAAAACGGTCTGAAAAAAGTCAAACGGAAATAATTTGCCAAACACCGTAGAGGAGGGTCTTTAAAAGTCTTCTCTCCAGCGGCTCCGACATTTGTGAAACAAACATGTCTAACACTAGAAAAACGATTAAGACGAAATAATCGTTTTCATAATGTATACGTACAATCGATGTATTTAAAAAAAAAATTAATTACCATTTTAGCGTTGGTGAATTGTGTTTTATGAGTTTAGAGCCGTTAGACGTGGACTTTTAAAACCCATCCGTCAATTTTGCTCAGTTTTTCTAAGATTTATTGTTTTTTTTTTTTCCTCGAAAAACGCTCTCTCGGTTAATTTAAAACACGCGCGGGTTTTCACCCGCGGCGGTGCCTTATACGAAACAAATTACTACATTTCCGGCAGTTATTCTGCACGATTAAAAATCGAGAAATTACCGACATTTAACGACCACGCGTCAGTTTCGTTGCCGTGTACTGTCCGCTCAGAATATGTTTCCGTGTTGCAACGACGACGTGCCGTCGCTTTCGGTGCGTACGAATTGTATTCAGCCCTAAACCTTTCGAGCTTCCCACTCGCTTATGTGGAGTCCTACGCACGCGTCGAGCTCGCCATCGACCCTGTCCGCGGTCCGTCGGTTTCAGAGTTATGGACCGCAGACGCGGGGACGACGACGGTCGCCGGCGTTTCCGTAAAATACGCACACCCGCGGCGGGTGACGATATTTCGGTGGAATTTTTTTTTTTTTTCGTTTTCGTCGCGTTAACGCACCATAACCGCGTACCGGTTACGCGGAACCGCGGTCGTTAACGAACGTAGAATAACGTGTCCAACGCCAATCGCGTGCCGCGGTTTCCGAGCCGCGCGCGTACGAAAACGTAACGCGCGCGCCGTACTCCGGCCCGGCCCGGTCTATTTTATAATAGAGCAATTA